AATAAAGTTGCCGTGTCAATAAAATTGCCAGATCTGCAGGCAACTAAATGGACATCTTGATCTACGTGATTATCAAGAGCAATAAAATTGACATCTAATGATTTACATAATTGATCGACGGCAATAAAATGGACAAATTGATCTTCATAAAAGATCTACATGGCAATAAAATGGACTTAATAAACTACCAATTAAATTTATCTAAAATTTTACCTGTCACAACGTTCTTGTTTTAATTGATAATATATTTGAAGCTGAAAAAGTTATTGTATTAGCACATTAATATAAATAAATAAATAAATAAAAATATATGCCTCATTTAACTCTTTTGAAGTAAAGTTTTTTAGAATTATTAAGTTTCTTAAGAGCAACTTGTTTATTAGCTATCTGAATACCTGATTTTGATTTGCTCCATTTCATAATTGGACCATCAACCCAAGTAGCTTTATAAACTTTACTAAATCCTCACTCATCAATACATTCTATGCCTTTGAATCTTTCATACGAAACAAATTCCATTTTGCCTTAATATACAAGATTAATTTGCGTATATTTGATAAAACTGTCAATAATTTCGTTTCCAATTGGATTATAAATGCATCTAAAGGTTATATTAAGCTAATGAAACAATGTTGGGACCCTGATCCAAGTAAAAGGCCAGAGAGTAATAAATACTGGATACCGAATTGCATTGCAACGAAAATTAGAGGCATTCAAAATGATGAAAGAACAAATCCAACTGGAATTGTAGAATCATCAGAAATTGGTCCTATAGGCACAAACAATCCAGGCGCTATCTATAAGAGTAGATCTTTAAGTAGCATGATAAAATCCGCAGAATCTACAATAAGTATATGAAGTCAATCCATTTCTTCAGTTTATGGTAATTATTTTGTTTTATATAAATCATTGCTTTAAGAACATTATTATATTTTATATTAGTTAATAATCAGAAAAGCAATATGTCCATTAATGGAAATTATTTATTTGTATTAGCTAATTACATCAATATCATTAATTCTTTTTTTTTTTACTTAAAAGGTAAACGAAAGTTTGAAAATAATGATGATAATGGTACGATATAATTTAAATGAACATTAATTCATATAATACTTTTGAATGATTTATAGACAAAAGTAATAAAGTGATTGAATTATTGGAAGGTGAAACTTATAAAACAAAAGAATTAGAATTTGATATTTAAAATATTTAAATATATAACGGTATCAATACATCAGTTACAAACATATGATAGAATATCGAAAAAAATAAAAAACGCGAAGTAAAAAATATTAACTATAAATAGTTCTATTTGAGTTTAATATTTAAATTGGTAGTTATATAATATTGTAAAACACCTTTTTGTTAGTACAGCAAACATTTCATTATTTCCTTATTAGGAAAAATAACCGTATTTGCGTCTCGATGTTTCGAAAGACATTCTTTTCTTTTCTTTTTTTAAAAGGAAAAAAGAAATTTTCTTTCTATATAGTGAAGTAACTGGGATTTATAGAATTTAAATAACGATAAATGATAAATTTAATAGGAAATGTATAAAGACAGCACAAATGAAGAAATAAAATAAGCAGTAGAACTCAAGGTTTACGTTCTTGTTCAGTATAAAATTTTTGTCAAGAAATTGGTTGTTTTTGGTATATTGTCTTTCAAATTTTCACAACAATAACTAATAATGCAAGAATTCGGGAGCCAACCTTTCTTAGTCTTACTCCAGACAAAATAGCAGCATAAAGCATGGCATCTTTACCCAATTAAACGTCTCCAGTTTAATTTTTTTTAATAAATATGGATTTTTAAGGAACATTAAAAGAAGTTTGATAAAAATTTCATTTTATTGTTACAATTTACAGGATCTCTCTTTATTTAATGGTTTAACTTAATCATGCAAAGAACAAATCAAGTATTACAAACTAAATTAATTTAATCAATATCGCCTTCGGATTAAAATTATAAAAGCCGAGAAAACCGCATCAACTGTATCGATAATTAGAGTTAGAAGGCGGCCAGAGACGTACGGTTGTGATCTTTAGTTTCAGCCATTGTACTCCTACATCTTCGGAGATGCTCGCATTTCCAAATGTTACGTATTCATCAATTTCTGCGCGCTCCCAAGTAGTAGAATTTTCTGTAATAGTTCGTTCAGTAGTACCTTCCATACTCTAAGCGTTTAAATCAACCCTCTTTTTCCATCCGTACTTCCAGAGGGTATTTGTGAGCCCACAGGTGGTGGGTTCGACTTGTTTCTTGCATAGTTTGCATATACTGAGATGAGGTTCCGCAGGAAACTTGTAAGTGCCGTGGCGAACGATTTGAAGTTGATTGTAAGCTTTGCAAGATGTGTCCTTGCATTATCCTTTAAAAGAGTGAATATTAACGATATGAGCTCGTGTCAAATTAGTTTCATACGAAATTTACCCTCGAGATTGAGGCCATATGTTGTTTGCTTAAAATTAAACCTTTTACTCGCAGTACACTTGCAAACTTTCTTTTCATTACAAGAACTTTTTCAAAATTAAAATCAAATGGAGAATTCGTAGGATTTGGAGAACTTAGAACTTGGAGAACTTGGAACCATGAAAAAGACAAATGACTAAATTGACTTATAGAACTTAAAGAGAAATTAGGTTATTTTCCGGGTAAATTTTGAATTTATTGATCGATAAACAAATCTAGTGTGTGACTTTTATTTTTTTTTTTACAAAAACAATTTCTATTGTTGTTAATAACCTACAGTATGTTAGAAACATATAGATATTTCTATTGAAAAATTCTCAGATCATTTCCATACTAGTTAACCTGGCACAGCAGATCGCGCAATATTTATAATGATTGTTCACCTCATCTTACGTTTTCACGTAATTTTCTCTCTCAAATTCTTTACATTTTTCTAAAACAACAAAACGAAAAAGAAAAACCATGGTAAATAAACATGAGTCGAAAAAATTATTTGATTGTAAAAATATATTTTTTCTTCGCGTTTGTATTATAGAAATTAAAATCCTAATAATATACTTTATAATATCTAGTCACCAGTACCTTTGTTTAAAGCTTGCACCGTAAATCCGAGACCAGTTTATGAAATAATCAAGGGAGTTAGCTTGAAAAATATGACAAGTAAAGAACTAATTTATTTCACCTTTTTTTTTATAATTGGTATATTTACTTATTAAATATTTATTTATTTATTTATAGTTAGGACGTGGTATATCTGTGAAAGCCGGCGCATTAGGAAAGTTCCAAGGTAAGTTATTTTATTTTTTTTTCCCTATATGATACTATATTTTAATGTGCCTTACCTTTTTGGTCTTAGCTGTATCGTGCATTCCACGTGAATTCTTCCATTCGTATTTGTTAATGGAACGGAACCGCTTGTAATCATTGTTCCATTAAAATATAAGCTTTTTGCTTTAGGACAGTCACATGATCGCCAATAATAAATATGTATAAATGAGGATAATTAACCGGTTACAGCAACTCGCAAAATGTGATAATTATCAATAATGACGATTACATATTTTTTCGAAAAAAGGAGGTTTCATTAAAGCGTTAAAAAAATTTTTTTTTTATTTATAAATCGGGAAAGTTATTTGACACTATTTAAACGGAACTTTTAGTTTCTTATTTTTTATTGTATTTTATGATTTTTGATTGGATAATTGAATAATTATTAATATCGATCATCGATATTACCAAAAACTTCTGTTCCACCCCATATTTTGGGTCGCATTCATTTCACCGACAAACATTTTACCGACGATCATTTTACCGACGATCATTTTACCGACGATCATTTTACCGACGATCATTTTTACCGTTCCAAAAAAAAATTTTGTAT